TCTGCATCTTGCTAAGCAAACAAGGAGGTTCTCGAATATATTCTTAAAAGCGGAAACAGAACAAATCATAATAATCTGTCAAAATGCCTGATGATCTAGACAATTTATTCCTATTTACCCATTTAGACTGACAAAATTGTAGTACTGATATAGGAAAACTAAGATACATTGCTGCATTCTCTCAGTTTCTTGACTAGAACCCATATCAAGGGATTGTGATAATGTTTTACTGAAAGAGGAAAAGGGAATTAAAACTTGAAGCAACCTCACTGGAAGCACTAAAAACAAAACAAAACAGATGCGAACAAGAACAAACCCTCCCTTAATAAGAACTGGGGCAGAAGTACTATGCATACTTTATTCAACTCTTGGAGTTTAGCACTGAAACAGTCACCTTGGAAGAGTCACTATGAAAAAATCTTCGTCTTCATGTGTGAGTCAGGCTTGTCTCTTCTAGCAGGTGAAAATAAATGAAGAATACCTAGACGTGATTTTCGTTATGCATTTCAGTTGCTTACTGGATTGCTGGCAATATCTCACTCTCTACTGCCTGATATCAATCCTCCTTTACTGGATGAGTTCCTTCATAAAGAATTAGCAAGCCTTTTGCAGCAGAAGCTACTGTATGAATATTCTGGAGCTTGCCCTTTCCAGAGTCTGAGGATAATGGTAGAAAAACAGAGCTGAATATATTGAGTTGGCATTTATGGCCAGTGCTAATTTTAGCAGAACCATCTGTAGTTTTAACTGACATTATTCTACACTGATAATTTTAATGGGGAAACTATCAACAACAACAAAAAATCACTCTAAATGGTTCCCCGTCAGCCTCTGTGAGGCATGGTGAGCTCTGCCTCGTCTCTTTCAATTAGTGGAATCTGAACTGAGTGCTGTTCTTCTGGGTAGAATCAATGGGAGGCACTCTGAGATGCTTCAGACCTAACAGCAATGCAAGGAGACATCCTTTCCACACAAAGGAAACCTGTCATCAAAATACCTCAGCAATATGAAGGATACATGGCTTAGACAGAGGTAAGGTTAAATGAGAGGAGGCTGATTCTTTTCAAAGATATTGCAGGACATGTTGCTCATTGTCATCACAATTTGATCAGAGTGTCAGACTGCCTGGGACCCTTGCTTCTAAGCATTTTCCTGGGCTACTCTAGAAGCAACAAGCATGTTTTTCCCCATCTATATTTCTTCCAAATAAAATCCTGGTTATAGTGACCCACAGCTTCATTATTTCAGTTAAGTTTAGCTCTCACAGTGCTGTACTCTCTAGGGCTGATTAAGAAATTACATAGAGCTGGTCCACAGTGCAGTGTCCAGTGGAACTGAAGCAGAGAATTTGAAATACACTCATTTTTATTTCATTATCTAATTCAGTTCTGAGTTCTAGTCTCAAGTTTCAAAGGGTGCATTGCCCAAGGAATCTGCTACAGAATCAGTATTCTCCCCTGCCCTTTGGAAAGCCTAGAGGCAAGGCTTAAAAAACAAGTTACCTAGTAGAGAAATGAGGGGCAGAGGGATCTCTGTGTGCTTCTCTGTAAGGCAGTTGACTCTAATTGCAGCTCTTGGTTTGGGTCAGATGGTTCCAGTCTTTTAAATGGTCAGCTGAGCTTATGCTGATAATTATCACACTTTCCTAATGGCCTGTAGCATCAAATAGAAATAGGGTATTACCAAAATCTGGCCCAAAGCTTATGTTTGAGTGTGATGCTACTTTATTCTGAAAAGTGCGTTGCTATGAATTTCTTGTGAAGAGTTTGTGGATACTTCTTGCAGTATAAATACTTACATGAACATAAGGGATCACTTGTTTATTATGCAGTTGCTGGCCCTCGTTCTCTAAAGGGGATTGAGAAAGGAGAAGCATGAAGCAGTGTAAGGTTTTTGCAATTAGGCCTATTTCATCTGTCTTATTAACTAGGCAAATCATGAGGAAACAAATCTTTTACTAGCAGTTAATGATTAGTTGGTCAGTTGACAGCTGTAAGCAAGTCCAGTAATATAAAAATTACTGTCATTATGAATAGCTTCTAATAAGAAGAGTTTTTAGGTAAAAGTGTGAACACTGCAGTGATATTATAAAATTTGTCTTTCCGTGATGTGTAATGACCAATTTTCTTCCCGAATGATGCAGAATGCTATCATATGGGTTCTTTAGTAAAATTTACTTTTAAGAAACTAGTATGTTTTGTAACAGGCAAAATTAAGCAACTGTTCAGACAGTATATGCAATGCATAGGTTCTGTAACAAAGTGTTAGTGAACAAATTGTTCTGTTTTTCATATGTTAAAATAGTTGTAAAAGTTTTCTAATTTATAACTTCCGAAAGATTTTTTAAGTTGCAGATCGTCCAGAGTTATATTATTGTGGCAAAATAATAGAGATAAAAAACTAGCTTGAACAGCTGTTTGGATATTCTGTAATTAGTAAGTTGCTGATGTAGCAGCAATTTGTCATTTGCAGTGTATAGGCATCACTGCAGAGGTCATGGAGAGAGAATACAGTGTTAATATCCCTAGCATGAGGTCCACAGGAGAATGGGTGCAACTTGATCAGTCATGCTGAGTGGTACTCAAATTGCCAACATACATATTATTGTCTTCTGAGTTAGTAGGTGTAATATTTCTGAAAGAGCTGAGAAGGTGTTTTTCTACACAGATAGGGAAAGGCAGGGATAGTGACTTTTAAAGAACGTGAGGTTCTTTGTAGCAAGCTACAACTGCTTTCGCACTTTTGAGGAAGGGAGCTGGGAGCTGGCACTTCCTCTGTCTTGCACAACCCTTTAGCAACTTGAGGGGCGGCCAGCCATGAGCTTGAAGGAAGAAAAGAGAGAAAATTACTAGGAATGGAATGACTGGAAACGACAAATGCAGACCTATCTGGTACTGCAACTGAATAGATACAGGTGTGTATGCAACTGAGATATGTAGCTATTTATTTAACTACACACACACACAGAGTGTGTATGCAGTTATATGTATATGTTTAAATATACTGTTAGGGAATTAAAGATTGCTGAGATGCAAATGTTCAGGGGACTGATAAATGAGGCCGGTTTTAAACTTTAAAACAAAACCTTACTGAATTCAGTCACTAACAACACACTTCACGCTTATGATTAGTTCTTACACGTTGTTAATCATTATCACTGCGTTGTAATAAGACTGTTAGTCCTTATTAATCATATCCTAAATTAGCTATGAGTATACAATACCATGAAGCTGATGTGGTATAATTAGCACTAATGGTCCTTGATGTTTCTTAGTCATGGAGGTCAAAGTGGTCAGGCTTGAGAGCTCTCTGATGAGAGAAGCTGAAACTGAAGTGGGCTTGTCTTCTTTCTTCTCTGTCTTGGTCATCACTGGTGCTTTATGCTTCTCACCTCCTCCCCTCAAAAGGGGAGTCTCAGCAGCTCCTCATGTAGGTCATTTTGTTCTTGGTGTTATGCACACCCATTTTGCTAGTAGGCTTTGTAATTAAATGCCAGCAGAGGACTGGTGCAAGTGAGGAGACCTAACTTTGATTCTGTGTTTTGGAGAGCAGTCTTTCAAGAGAGTCCTTCTCTCTCACCCTGCTGTGGCTTACTTGACCTCATTTGCTTCTGACCATTCCTGTCTATCATCCTTTCAGTCTGTCTCCCTGCATGTCCACCTTCATTTCCAAACTTGTATACATTCATCTCTTTTTTTTATGTTTTTTCCTTCCCAAGACTGCATTACAATTTTCTTATCGCCCGCTTTGCCACGGTTCTCAGTATTAAGGTGGGAACCCTCAAGCCACCTAGGCTGTAGGAAGGTTAGCGCTTGGAGTACAGAAAAAAGCTTCCCTGCTGACATTTTGAGTGCACAGCAGGCTGTGGTTGAAAGGAGAAGCAATCATAGGAGAGTGCTAGTCCCATCTGTACTAACTTAAGCAGATTCAGTCATTCTGAGAGAATGATACACATAGACCTGTATTACTGTGTGTGCATTGCAGCAAGCAAGAAATATTATAATAAAAGTGTAGAATGTAATGTAGAACATGTAATCAAGTAGATATTCATAACCAAGACCTTTTTTGCAGATAGAATTAGAGCTGCACCTTCATCTGAAAGTATCCATTCCACCAAATTTCAAGAATCTATTTCAAAGCAGGGAGTTTAGTAGTGAAAAGACCATAGGATCTGCTTGTTCTAGTTTCTGTAATTTTTCCATAACTTTATTTCTGAAATGTCTGGGCCATATCCTGAGATAGGTGTTCTGACATTCGGCAATCTGGCAAGCCATTGGAAAAAGGCCCTTGTAATGTAATATATCAGGCCACCTTAGTTATAGACAAGACAGGGGATACATATAGAGAGGGAGAGAGAAGGGGAGAATTTTTAACAGTGAAGTCTACCAGACGAGAAATGGTACAGAACAGACTTGGCTGGAATAGTAATACAGGTTCTTTCAAATATATTTCAAGTACCTTTTACTTGAAGGATGTTTTTGGATAGGTCTTTTTTGTGCAGCATTACTTTCTTATGTTGTAACCGACCAATGTTTGAAAATTGTAGCTTGGTCCCCAGAAAATCATGGGATTGATTTACGCATAATGCATGTGATCTCTGAACATTAAAGGTGGGAAGTTCACTTAATCTTCCTCATTTGGTTTTGAGCCTTCAAACTCTCTTTGGGTCTCATTTCAAGGTTCTTTCAATAAATATAGTTCTAAAAGGGTTTTTGGTTTTTTACTTTTTTTAATACCAAAGAACACTTCATTAAACTCCTGTCTTCAGGACTTTGAATCAAGAAATACCTCATTACGGGAAGACAGGCTGCATGCTATAGTAAAATGAGGATTGACTATAGACCAGGTTAGAATGCAGTTTATTATCACAGGAAGAACACTACTCTGTGATAAAATGTTAAATACTTTACCAAAAATAAAAAAGGAAATATATGAATAATATGATTTAAATCAATTTTCAGAACCTCCAAAATACCATGACAATCTGTTCTATCTTATAGGAATCCCATTAGCTCCTAAAGGAAAACTGGGCATCCCAGTGTTATTCATGCCAGTTACAATGAAAATGTGTGAAGCTGTGGTGGTAATTCATGCAACAAGGGAGAATGGTGAAAACTGGCCTGATGAGGATTCTGCTGAATTAAATAAAGACTTAAAGAGGTAATTCATCATCATAGGAAAATAAAACAGCAGTTGAGGATACTCAAACCTGTTGTCATTTCCCCCTTCAGATATTTGTAGCTCTCAAGTGGAATCACATGTCTGATGTTGAGGACAAATATATGAGTTTTTAATGTACCCTGCAAAGAAAGCAGATTTAAGGTGGAGAATTCTATCTATTTCCATACCTGCCTTTTCTGTTTTTGAGTAAACAAAATGAAAACATTAGCTGCCAATGCAGTTACGGATACTGAGCAAGTGAAAAGCACTTAGATGCCTCTAATTTATCAGTATATTTAGGCTAATAATTATTTACTGTTACTCTTGTGGATGTGTTTATGTAATCCATTACAAATATATATTTGACTTGATTCTGATTCAACTTTTGCTCTAACATCATCTGCATATAAATGAACTTGTTTTCATCTTGGACATGACCTAAGAGTGAGCAGATCAGACCAAATGTTCTCATATCCTAACAGAATAATACTGAAGACTCGAAAATGAGTGGATGTAAATTACTGCCTTTCTAATTTTGTTGGATTTTATTTCATATTTTTCTTAGATGTCTTTCACATTAAAGAATACAATAAAATGGAAGCTCACCCTACCAGCAACTAGATTACTACATTACTTTGGCAGGAATTTCTCAGCAGTCTGTCAATCATAATGATACTTTCACTTATTTTCTAAACAGTGTTACTGTGGCAGAGAATGGAGGAATTCGGGGAATACGTTGGATCTACCCAGTTCGTGGAATACCTGAAGCACCACAACAGAAATTAGTTCCGGGTAATTATTGAGAAAACATGAACAGTAAATTTAAGAAAATTAAATAGTTATTTAAATTGTCACCTGCTTGTTCATAAGAATTTGCAGTACTACTTTGCTGCAGTCTTAAAAAAAGATAAAATCACTTATTAGATTTTAAAGGAAGAAAGGGTAAGGAAAAGTGATGAGATGGATGACTTCAACTTTTTAGTACCAACTCACAGGATATCCAGAAATTAAGAGGTGAAGCACTAAGCTGGATGGATGACTTATACTATTTTCCCAGGTCGCTTTGTCAGGAACTTTCTGTATTCTACAAGCCTGAATCCCTAGCTGGTAGTATGTAAGGTGCATTCACCAAGTCAGACTAGCGCAAGACTTCTCTTGTATTTGAAAGAAAGTTGCTGCTTATATTTTATCGGGCTGTTTGGGTTAAAATTCCATTTTCCAATCTACAAAACAAATCTAGATCTATTATTTTGTTCTCATTGTGGATAAAAGGAGTCAGGAGCAGTTGGAAATCTCAAAGCCTTTGCACTTCTGTGTCCCAGTTAATGCTCCGTTACAGAAAGTAAAGTAAAGTAAAATTTGAAGGTAAATCAAATGGAAGACTGTTGCAAGTCAGGATTTCTATTTAAGTGCCCAGAACACTTTTCCACAGTGTTTACCTGGTACATATATTGGAGTAGATGTCCACTGTGCCGTGAATTCACTCAGCCGTGAATTTCTCTAACTAAAAGCATAATGTAGAAGAGTGTGAATAACATTAACTTTTCCATTTGTTCCTAAGAAGTTGCGCTAAATGATGGCTAACACTGATAGGATTTTTGTTGTTGCTTAATTTGGAGATAGTGAATGTTTATAGCCTTGATGCAGCTATATTTTTAAAGGCATAATATAATCTCAGAATTGGGTTTCATAGAGATTATGAACAGCTTTTTAAAATTAAAAGCTTCAAACTACAGATTGAGGCGTAGCTGATGGACAATTTTATACCAGCTTGTCTTCTGATGAGTGAATGTAATACCCTCCTACACTAAATAGGTTAAAGTACAAGACTGACTTCTGGAAAACTGAGCTCTAGAAAAAGGTATTTTTACTGTCATTAATTTAGTTTGCTTAAGGACCGTTTATTTGCAGATAAATGCCAATGATGTGATATTAATTAGACCTTTCATCTCCTTAATTTCCACTTTAATACAGTAAAGGAGTGAACCAGAATATTATCATGGGAGCTACTGTTTCCCAAAATGGCAGTTTTAACAAATCTCATTAGCATTAAAACTATCTATATTGACAGGAATGTTTATGTTCTTATTTTAAAATTGTAATGTAATTCAGCATCAGCAGACTTTGAGATAAATCTCTCTTTCATCAGGCTGTTGTTTTCATTAGGTAGAGGGGGTATGAATTTGAACTGATAGCATTCGTAAGTTGCTTAAGTGACATTACTGCTGTATATGATCAGAAACTTAAGTAATATCCCATCTGAAGTAATTTGAAATTCCAAAATGCTTCTTTAAAGTAAAAAATTAAACTGTAGGATATTTATGACTAATTCCACTATCCCCTGGTTTATGTTCAGTAAATGTGTATTTACATACAAGGAGTATTGCATTCCTTTTGAATGCATATTATCTCTTAGGGGCCATCACCATCATATCCATATTATATGTTGTTTGATTTTTTTTCTAAGTACTAGGTCTCTTATTGAAAAATGTGCTGAAAAACTAATATACCTACCTGTGAGAGTATTTATGAAACAGATTCCATTCCTGCCTTGATTATTTTTCCATGGTTCTCAGTTATAGATGGACTTTTAAAAAATCCCAGTTGTAAGACTGGAGTCCAGAGTAAGAAATCTATTTTGTTTTTAAATCGTTGCTTTTAATAATGATCAAAATTGTATCGTCATTTCTTTTAATGTTTTTATTTTCATTTATTGAAATTGCCTGGAGGCTACAAGCTGTTGTGTCAAAAACCAAAGCTATTTTGCTAGTATATTAGGCAGTTCATCTTTGGTGTCGTTCTTATTTGCATCTTAATATACTTAAACCTCTGGAAGTCGTTTGGCTTAGTATCTCATGAGGCCAATTAAAGTGATCAGCAGTCACAACCCATGTAGTTCATGTTAAATAGATTAAAACTTGGCTGGCTTATAGAAGTAATTACAAATGGAGAATCATCCAGAATATTTTTTTTCTTGTGGAGTCATACAATAATTTTGGTTGGAAGGGACCACTGGAAGTCATCTAATTCAACTCCCTGCTCAAAGCAGATCTAATTAGATCAGGTTGCAAAGGGACTTGTCCAGTCAAATCCAACAGAGTTCTGATTTTTATGCATAAATATTACTCGATCATTTAGAAAAAAATCTAGGATGACTTCTGTTAGTAGGCTGAGCTGTGGAATAGAAAGTGATGCAGACACAGCGTGTGTGAAATACTTAGTAAGCTGGGGTGATACAGGTAATGTACATTTTACTCTTAAATGTAAAGTCATGCATCTGGGAAAAAAGATGAATTTTTAGTTATTATTGTAGCTCTTTTCATGTGAATGTTTAGAAAAGAGCTATAGGAATTACTTAAAACCTATCAAACAGGAAAAGACAAATTAAAAAGGTCTATTTTTGTAAGAGAAAGTAATGGAGTGACTTGATCATGATATGCAGTCTACTTTCAGAAATAATCATAGTGAAAAAAGTTTTAGAACCAAAAGTTGAAGCTAAATAAATATAGTATAGAAGTGAGTGTTTTACTGATCTTTTTCTAAACACTGAACATAATTACTAACTAAGAGATGAATCTGGACTATTTATCATTAAATCTTAATACTAAGTTCAGAGTTAATTTGTAAAGAATTAATAATTCTGTTGGCTGTTTTAGATAAAAATTCAAATTAAAAGATTTGAACTTGTGCCTCATTACTTAAATGTTTGTAATTATGAATCATTACTTACTACCTTGTGGAAAGGAAAAATATCTGGCTTTTTAATAATAGAACAAATAATTTTGTGGTTTCAAAGGCATAATTTTGATGAAAATAATACTTAGACTTTGAAACTGAGAAGAATGTAATCAGCTCTTCTTTTTCAAGTTGATTTCAATGCTACTGGAAATTCTAAGTCTTTTGTTTGGGAAAATGTATTTTCCTTTCAGTTCCTGAATATAATCTTCTCTTCTTTCCTTGCCGACAACTATTGAAAGAACCATAAACAATAACTACTAAAGTAGGCTGTCTACAATCTAGTGTATAGGCAAAGAACCCAGCTACTCTTTAATGATAGAGGACATGTTTTAGAAAAAGCAAATTAAAATCACTAACTGAATTGAAAAAAGCTCTGTTATGCTTCAAAGAGAAACTGAGGTCAGAATGCTTTTTATTCTAACATGGTTCTATAAGATCTGAATTTTGAACAAAATTATTCTTATATTAATAAATCAAAGAGTAACTTAGTATTTTTCCTCAATTTTAACTTTCATTTCTTTCATTTAACTTTTAAGTTCTTTAATTTCTTTGTTATTCTTTCAGTCTTCCTTTCTCACTGATACATTTAAAACTATACCATAATATTTATTTGTAAATAAACTAAAATAAAGATATATATATATTTCATGATTACAAAAAAAAAGAGAAATTTGCAAGTGGTATTGGGAACCAACAGTAGGACAAGACTTTTGCTTGCTTACAAATTTTCTGCTACTTCACCTAAAGAATTCCATCCTTCTTCAAAACCATTTCAGTTCTATGGTTAGCTGTGTTGTTAAAATTAAGATGCTGGCAACATTTTATGAAGAATGGATTCTTGCTTTTCTGTAGCTGTGGTACGCTGTCGAGCCAGGCATAGAGTAGAAAAAAGAGTGGAAGTGCTGCTGGCCGGTGTAGTTCCTGGAGCAACTGCTATGCCTGCTGCAAGAAGTTCTTCAGTGGTTGATACAAATAAGCCGGGCAACATCCAAGATGAAGTTCAAGTCACTGATGGTAAGAGCAAATAGCTTGGATGCCATACTGTTTCAGTAACGTTGCAAATATGGTACAAGTACTTTATCAAATGTAGCTCAGCCTTGACAATGGATGAGGTTTAGAAAAATGCTGCTAGAAAAATCCTTCTCTCAGGCCATATTTCTACCATGTTGCACATATGGGAGTTTTGGCTGTGAGGTTGGCACACATACCATTTCTTGTTTAAAAGAGACTAGCCTGTACAAAGTTTGAAGTTAGCAAAAATATGTCTGTGTAAGCATTGCAAGGAAATATTTATCTGCAGGTTGTCCCTATTTGTAAGATGCATTCCCACTAGCAGGCCAATATCTGCAGCAAAATGGATTGAAGGAAGCCTTATTCGAAAAAAGCAATAAAGCTTTATAGAAAGATAGCTTCCATTTAGTGTTAATCAGCTGAGGACACAGTGAAAATCAATTTCTTTAGAGATACATCAGCTTTTCATATTATACCTCTTCTTGAGAGATGTAAATGGTAAGAAAAGAGTGCTTGTTACTGCTGAACGCCTGTTACATCTGTTAATAGATGTTAGTTAACAGGCATAGTTACTACAACAAAGTATACAATGTTACATTTTTATCTTCACAAATGATTATGCCCTCAAAACTTAACCCACATTTGACTGTGGGTGCAAATTCATCCTACCTGATTAAAAAAAAATACAATTTTAAAAATTATGATGCATGACATGAGGCATCCTACTGTGTATTTAACGTAGCTTTAAATGACAGGAAGGAATATTTCGTCAGTGTTCCGACTTCCTCAAGGGTATAATGTGAGGTGTAAGGTGGTGAGATAAAAGTCTACGGAAGTTGCTCTGATTGCAGTCCGTTGCTTAGGCATTCAGTCCGAGAGTCGCATAAACTGGGCTTTTGTGTCTTCTTTCTGCCACCTGAGTCAGTTTCAGAATCTGGCTCGATAGCTGCTTTACAGGAATACCATGTTCCAGAAACTCCTGGGCTAAATAACTGTGCTGTAGTTCATACTGCCAATCTGTAAACCCTAAGTCAAGGTGCGTTACATCCTTCCCGTAGGACTAATTCTTATACATCCTCCCTCTCCCCACCTGCACTGACGAGCATAGTCTCGTATCTGCGATTGTTGTCCAAGCTCTTTTAATGGAATTTTTTTTTTAGTATTTTTAAAAACAGAACAGGATCTGAGGTTGAACTGTCAGCAAGAGCCTGCATAGAATATACTTGCTGATTAGTTAATCTATATATTTGCCTATACTGCAGTGTCAAAGGAAACATATTCAGGCATATTGCTGTTTTATATTCTCAGAGTACAAAGTAATAGTGATCAAGCTAGTAGCATAAAAAGGTGGTCAATGTACATTCTTGCCTCTTTGGAGAACTGTAAATATCATGCAATTTTGTTTGGCCTTGTAAGAACAACCTTATATCAAAATACATGCTACCATTTTTATTACTATGGAATAGCTGGCTTAGCAGTTTTTTAAGCTGTTACGTGTGAATAGGCCATCTTAAATATATCTGAGCTATTTCACTCCAAAATGGTGGCATCAGAATTGGGAGGAATAACATGAATTCAGCAAGTTGAGACAGCATTTTGAAAGACTTGCAGATCTTTGATCTGTAGTGCTTGTTTTATTCATAGGAATGATATTTCGCGTTTACTAACACTGGCTTCTGCATATACTGCAAGACATTGATTTGGGACATTGCATTTTTTCAGACAAGGCATCTGGTAATGAAGCACTTGACACCGTGGGTACTAAGATCACTTAAAACTCTGGTGCTTTCCAGGATTGTCAATGACATTGTAATGTCATTATTGGATGAATTTGATGCCTCTTAGGAATCAAATTTAGTGGTGCTATCTGAGCATTCTTCAGCCTACCAATAATGATGTAAATAAAAGTATAAAGCTCTAAGATAACAGCTTGGCAAGCTGTTTTTCATTTTTTTTCTCTTCTGAAAGAGTAATTCATCAGAGTGTGTGTGATGTGTAGTAAGCAGTTTTTATATCCAAAGATAAATGATGATAATTACTGGCAAATCAGATTTAAACAGCTTCTACTGTGCTTCAGTATTTAAATTATTTGGACAAGAATAAACCCCTGGGAAGTGAAAATCTTCAAGCATGTCCTTTGCATTAAAAGAATTCAGTTTGGTTCCATTCCAGAAGGTTTTGTTTGAAATAAAAAGTTGTTATAATTTCTAAAGAAAGAAGGGACAGTCTAAACGCTGTATAGCTAAGGTAACATAATAAGTTGTTCAGAAATCAGCAATGTTTCAGAGATCCAACACATTAAAAAGTTAGAGTTTTTAGGGCATAATAATTATGTTATGGCCCATTTAAAATAATTTTCTATCGTATTAAATATTTATTTTTACTCTAATATATCAAATATATCATATGTTTGTTTTCTCTAAAGATACTATTTTCAGTTAAACTATTTTAAGAAGTTTCCTCAAAACAAGTGCCATGGTTGGTTTTTACTCTAACAAAATAGCTCTTTTTAGTTTACAGTCAATAGAAAATACAGAGGTGTTTGATTTTTCACAGTCTTATAAGAAAAACATCAGATTCACAAATTATCAGTTTTTTATGACTCAGAGTCATGAGTTTCTAAGCAACTAAACGTGGTCATGTTGAGAGCAGGTGAAGTATGCAGGGAGTATTTCTGATTTGAGGAAATAAAATAATCAGTCCTGTTCTGTCTCTGTCCCTTTTACTTGCTTCAGTTTATCACATAAGCCAGTGATTAGGGTTGAGTGTTTGTAATTAACTACACTAATCATGATTAATTCATTGTTTTTCTCACAGCCCAAAGGCTGGTCTTAATTCATTGCTACTGGATTCTTATTTCTGGGAAGGCTTTATGTGAATTATTGTTTTGGGGCAACAATGATGTTCAGGTTCTTGAGGGTAGCATAGATAATCATTTTTTTTAATGTTATGTGAAAGTTTTGCAGCTGTGCTGATCTCTGATGAAACAGATGAATGGTTCAATTGCAACTAGTGGTTAAATAACATTTTACAGTGATGTTAATCTGTAATGTACATCGGCATACATCATGCATAGTGTACCCATATCCTTTGTTTCACCACTGACAAAACCAGCAACCTCCCCACATTTTATGTAGTTTTATGCCAATTATCTAACATTCATAAATTCTTGAAACTGAAACTCTTCAGAATATATGGAAATCCTCTATTTTTTTTTAATCTCATTAAAATAGCTCTTTGAGGCATTACTGAATGTTGTGCAGCAAGGAGAGTAGTGGGGAAGAATACCTCCAAACATATGCTAAAAGCTATTCCCTCCCTCAGTAACTTCTCATGTTAGCCAGTGATATGGACTTCACTAAATTTGATGGCTCTGGTGATGGATCTGGATCAGGAGGTTCACCTTTAAGAAATGAGTTCAGTACATTTGGACAAAACCAAAGAAATCTTATCAGTGTGAGTTATAAAAGTGCCAGTATAGATGGAAACAAAATATTCTTATAGACCTACCGCTCATCCAGAGAGATTTTAATCTAATTATTGACAAAGTGTGTTGTGAATATGGAAAACAATATGAAGAGGATAATAATGATGGAGACAGCTCTATATATAACTTAAACTCTCTATTGTCAGAATCACTGTGGAATTATTTTTCAAGTGGTATTTGAGAATGAGTAAATTATAGCTTTATAAATGAGATTGTAAATGGATTTTTTTTACTCTATGAGGAACAGAGTAGAACAAAGAACAAAGAAATCCTCTTTTTAGATTAACAGCTGATCAAAGCTGTTAACAATAGCAAAATGGAAGTGTTAACACGGTGTGAACCACCAGTTGGTAGGACGAGTTACTCTGTTATGGATTACCTTGTTAAGGGTGACAAAGTTTGAACTTGTGCTGGAAAACAGGGAGCTAGCAGAAGTCAAAGAATAGAGGGAAAAATAGAAATGATAGTCTAAATGATGGATTATTTTAGTAGTTACTAGTGATTTAGTAGTTATATACTTTACAATTAGCTTCATGTTTCTTTATTTATGAGTGAACCATGGGAGCGGCTTGGTTTTTTTTTCTTTCTGAAGGAAGAGACTAATCTCAACTGCTTAAATTCTAATGGGTAACTCCTAATGGACAAGATGAGAAGTATTGCACTATAAAGGATTTTTTGAATGAAAATGAAATAATTACAGTAGATCGAATGGATAATCACAGTTTTAATGGTATATGAAGTACCAGGCTGATAAAACAATTCCATTTTGTAAATTGTCTTTACACGATAATCCAACAGAGTTTAAACACACAAAATTCATAATTTTTCTTTATAGTGGTTAGATTTGTAAGTGGCCTGTTCTTGCGCATTAGAAACAAGATATATAGAACACTAGGGTTATATTATTTTCCTTTGCGGAACTGCAATGTGCACAGGCATTCTGATGAAAAACTTCAAATAGGACTTTATTTATTCGATGATGATGTACTGGGTTAGCACTTGCTCTTAACTTTCTAAAGCAATATCCACGGCAGTAGGACAGTCAAGTGAAAAACAAACAATTTAGCATAATTTTTTTCTCACAGGTAGCCACATGTCCCTCTCCTACCCATTTTTTACTCTAGCTAGAATAATAATAAGAAATTCAGAAAAGGAACTCCTGAATTATAAGCAAACAAAATTTGTGAGCACAAATCAGTGCTTATGTTTCAGTTTATAGGAGAGTCACTCAGCATTTCTGTTTCTTTACCATTTTGTGAAATGTTAAACTCTGCAAACCTTAAAAATGAGAATCATCATTATGGTGGAATTTAGGATCCTGTGAGGAGGGAGCAGGACAATAAGAAGAGTTGCAACCCTGGACTTCAGGAGAGCTAACTTTGGCCTCTTGAGGGACCTACTTAGGGGAATCTCATGGCGTAGGGCCCTAGAAGGAAGAGGGGTCCAAGAAAGCTGGTTAATATTCAAGCATCACTTCCTCCAGGCTCAAGAGCAGTGCATCCCTCTGAGGAAGAAG